ATTAAGCAAATCTGCTGCACAAGACCTCTTTAAAGTGTTCAAGAGCAAAGATGTCAGTTTGAGGATTAAGATGCACCTGACCCAAGTGATGATATTTTAAATAACCAAAATAACCTCATATGCATGTAAAAGTTTGGCAGTGAATATGGAAGACCATAGAAGAATTAATGCATTTGAGTTATGGTGTTGGAAGAGGATATTCAAAATACCATGGATCATGGAGTGCCAGAAGAACAAACAAAGTTGTGTTGGAATAAGTACAGCCAGAATGCTCCTTGGAAGCAAGGATGGTCAGATTTTGTCTCCTATCCTTCAGACATATTATTAGGAGGTATCCATCCCTGAAGAAGGATATCATGTTTGGTAAAGGGAAGGGTCAGAGAAAAAGAGGAAGCCCCCCACTTGAAGGATTGGCACAATGGCAGCAGGAATGGATTCAAATGTAGCAGTGATAATGAGGTTGGGTCAGGACTGGACAGTGTTTTATTCTGTTGTGCATAGTGTCACTGATTATTTAAGGTTATACTGGAGTAGTTGTTGTTATGTGCTGCTGAGTTGGTATCAACTCATAGAAACCTTATGCACAACAGAACGAAACTTTGCTCAGTCCTGCATCGATACCACAATCGTTGCAAAGTTTGATTTGGTTCCTGTAGCCACTGTGCTTGTCCATCTCAATGGGGGACTTCCTCTTTTTTGTTTACCCTCTACTTTACCAAGCATGATGTTCTTCTCCAGGGACTGGTCGCTCCTGAAAATGTATCCAAAAGTATCAGAAATGAAGTCTGCCCATCCTGACTTTTAAGGAGTATTATGGCTGTATTTCTTCCAACACAAATTGGTTTGTTCTTCTGGCAGTCCATGGTACTTTTAATATTCTCTTCCACATCATAACTCAAGTGCATCAATTCTTCTATGGTCTTCCTTAGTCTCTGTACGACTTTCACATGCATATGACATATGATGCTACTGAAAATTCCATGGTTTGGTATAAGTGCACCTTAATGTTCAAACTGACATCTTTTCTCCTGAATACTTCTAAGAGATCCTGTTTAGCAGATTTGCCTTATGCAATATGTTGTTTTATCTCTTGACTGCTGCTCCCATGAATATTGATGGTTGATCTGAGCAAAATGAATCTTTGACAGCTTAAATCTTGTTCCATTTATGTAGATATTATTTATTTGTCCAGTTATGAGGGTTTCTGTTTTAAAGAAAACATGAAGATGTGGAGGTGCAACCCATACCAAAGGCTGTGTTCTTTGATCTTCGTCAATAAATATTTTAATTCCTCTTTGCTTTTAGGAAGCAAGTTTGTGCCATCTGCATATCACAGGTTGTTAATGGGTTTTCTTCCAATCCTATTCTTCTTCATATAATCCAGCTTCTTCATAAAATCCAGATTCTTCCTATAATCTACTGGACTATGAACCACAAAGTCAGCAGTTTAAACCCACCAGCTACTCCTTGGAAACTCTATTCAGGGTTGCTATGAGTCGGAACCAACTTGATGGCCCTTAACAACAACAACAACAGATTGAATAAATATTGTGAAAGAATACAACCCTGACACACAACTTTCCTGATTTTCAACTATTCATGCCCCCTTGTTCTATTTCGACAATTTGCCTCTTAATCTGTGTACAGGTTCCTTATGAGCACAATAAAGTGTTTTGGAATACTCATTCTCCGCAGTGTTGTCCATAGTTTGACATGATCCATACAACTGGAAGTCTTTGCGTAGTCAATAAGACATAAATTAACATCTTTCTGGTATTCTCTGCTTTCATCCAAAATCTATCTGACGTTCAGCAATGATATCCCTTGTTCTACGTCCCCATCTGAATATGTCTTGAACCTCAGACAGCTCCTTGTCAATGTACTGTTACAGCCATTTTTGAATTTTCTTTAGCAGACTTTTTTTGGCATGAGATATTAATGCTATTGCCTGATGATTTCTGCATTCCTTTGGGTCACTGACTGGGCACAGACATGAGTCTGTGCCAATCAGTTGGTCAGGTAGTTAGTTGTCTTCCAAATTTCGTAGCATAGATGAGAGAGTGCCTTCAGTGCTGCCTCAGTTTGTATTGATTTAGGCCGAAGAGAAAATGTGTTAACCTTTGTAACCAACTTGCATTAATAGCAAGGAGAAATTGAAACAGGACTATGAATGTTGTTAGGTCCACATTTGTCAATTTCTGTGTCTGTGTCTCTCTTTCTTTCTCTTTTTTACTCTCTCTTCCTCTGGTAGCATAGTGGTTACGAATTGTACTGCTAACCTCAAGGTCAGCAGTTCAAAACTAACAGCTGTTCCATGGGAGAAAGATGAGGTTTTCTGCTCCTGTAAAGATTTACAGCCTCGGAAATCCAGTGGAGGGTCCCTATGAGTCGGAACCGACTCCATGGTACTTAACAACAACAACTTCCTATTGTTGTTTTCCATGTTGACTTCATTGAGATACAAGCATCATGTAGTGGTTAAGAGTTTATATAATGAAAGCAGAAGGCCTGAATTTGATATCTGGTTTTTCCTCTCATTAGTTGTGTAACCTTGCGCAAGTAAGACATCAGTTTTCTCTTCTGTTAAAACAGCCTATCTCAGGGTAGTTGTAAGGATTAAATTAATTGGATTAAAGGATATGTAAAAATGCTTCAATCACTGCCTGGCAGATAGGAAGTACTACGTAATTATTTATTGTTAGTGGTAGTACTGATACTTTCTTCTTCATATGGAACTCTCCTAGGGAGGACACGAGACTGCTTGCTGCTTTTCACTTACCTCTTGACTCATTCCACCAAACAGGAGAGTAGTTTCTTCCTCTTATCTTTCTAGTTTAGAAAAAGCCTTAAAGAAGGATCTTGGCTGGGCTAGTTTTATTCATAGACTAATCAATCAGAAGGCACTCTTAGAAGTAAGTACAGGTGCAGGAGTATTGGGACATTTTGACTGGCAGCTTCATTTAGCTGTTTCTTAAGAAAAGGCAGTCATATAGTAAAAACATGACCTTTGGGAATAAGAAATCAAATGTATGTATCTATTTATACAAAATGGATGTCCCTTTGTTTTTCCAGTCTTGGTTTCAGTCTAGCTTTCTAAATTATTGAACATATTCTCAAGCTGGGTAGTTTTCTTCAAAAAGACAAAGGTTCAGACTATTTTTTACGAGTCCTAGGCCTTACTTGCCTTAGCATGTTGCTAGGAAGCTGTTTCTTGATTTAGGAAGCTGATTACCTTATTGACAGGCGTTACAGTGCTTAGAAACTGAAACTCTCCGTAAGGCAGACTTCCCAGGAGTTTCATTTTCTTCCCTAAGTGGTGATCCATCAATGTAATCCTCTTTGAAGAAGAAATTATTTACCGTAACATTTGTTCTCTGAAAATGCATTATCATTGATAGATCGCTACAATCTACTGTTCCATTAGTTTGTTGGTAATACATTCTCTATCCTTTTTATTCTTACCGTATATAGTACTTAGACTGAGAAGTTGAACTTAAGAGTCACAAGACGTCCCTGGCTATTTAATAGTCTGAGCTTAGTATTTTATCTAGATAGCTGCCAATTTTACAATCACCTATATTTTACACTGTTAATGAAGAAAATTCTGAGTGATCCTTTCTGACACTACTATGTGTAGACCCAATCAGCAGACTATCTTCTCAGGATAATGAAGGTTAGTGATAGGTAATAAATTTTAGATTATCTGTGAAATGAACTATACTAAAATAATAACTCATTTTTCAAAAGTTATAAAATTACAGCAGATAATTAATATCTACTTATTAGAACTAAAATCCTGGTTGTGGCACTGTATATTAATGTGTTGGACTGCAAAGTCCATTTGAACCACAAAGTCAACAGTTCAAGTGCACCAGCTGCTTCTCAGAAGCCTTACACAGGGTCATTATGGGTTGGAACCAACTCGATGGCACTTAACAACAACAACACTAGTTGTATAAGCTGCTAGCAAAGTTCCTGAACAAACAAAATCCCACTGCCATTGAGTTGATTCCAACTCACAGTAACCCTGTATAGGGTTTCTGACGCTTTAAATCTTAATAGGAGCAGAAAGCCTCATCCTTGTCCTGCGGAATGGCTGATAGACTCAAACTGCTGACCTTGTGATTAGCAGTCTAGTGCTTTTCCTACAGTACCAGTTGTTTTTGATGTTAAGTGCCGTGGAGTCAATTCTGACTCATAGCAACCCTGTACAGGGTTTCTGAGGCTGTAAATCTTTATAGGAGCAGAAAGCCTCATCTTTCTCCCGCTGAGCAACCAGTAGTTTTGAACTGCTGACTATGTGGTTCGCAGCCTGACTTGTAACCACTAAGCTACCAGAGATCCTTATTAGTGACTCTACTTTGGCTAAGAATCCATAGTGGCCCAATGGTTAAGAATTTGGCTGCTGCTGGTTGCTAAACAGAAGGTTACTCACTAGCTCTGCTCCATAGAAGAAAATACCTGGCAGTCTGTTCCTATAAAGATTCATGGTGTTGGTGTTGATGGTTGTGTACTGTTGAGTCATTTCTTACTCATAATGATCCTGTATAGGGTTTCAGAGGCTGCAAATCTTTACGAAAGTAGAAAGCCTCATCTTTCTCCCAAGGAGGGACTGATAGATTCAAACTGCTGCTAAGTTTTGCAGTTAGCAACCCAACTCACAACCCACTATGTTATCAGGGTTCTTTCTAGAAAGTTTATAGTTTAGAAAATCCAATGGAACAGTTCTGTAAACTTGCTATGAATCAGAATTGATTTGATTGCATGCAACAATGACCACTCTTTTGACGAAACATTAGATTCACTTCTACAAATCCTAATCCCCAAACTACACTCTAGACTAATTAATCCAAATTTATTATGGTGGAATCCAGACATAAGTATTTTTTATAGCTCCCTGGGTGTTCCAGCGTTGAGCCATTTTAGAATCATTAATCTAAGTATATAGTTCTTTTAATTATTTGGTAAGCACAGCCTTATTTTAAGTCTTTCTTTTTCAGGATATTATTGATAGACTTATAATTTTGAATTCTGAAGCTAAGATTCGTTCTTTATTTAATTATGAACAATCACATATCTTTGGACTAAGGTAAGGTGCTAAATTTTACTTTAGATGTATTTTGTGTGATACGAATGTTTCTATAAATGTTTTTATATTTTTTAAAGTTTTTAAAGTAACTTAATTTAAAATCAAGCTTAAAAGTAATTTGTCTTTCTCTAAAATATAGACAAAGAAAATTGCAACTGTCAGGTCTTTGTCTTCATTTATGCCCTGTATTACTACAGTGTCTTCCACTATTGCTCACTATAGTAGATACATTTAGGAAACTATTTTATTTAGCTCACCCTGAACAGTGCTTTTTCTGCCCTGGTGTTTGATTAGACTTCTGCCATAATGTAAGCTTCAGAAAGGTCTAGAAATGGATGATTCATCTTTACTCTTTAACTTTAGTTTTCCTGGGGTTTGTATCTTTCTGGTTAAATTTATATGCTTTGACAATTTATTTAGCATATTCAAATGGAAAAGAAAATAGAGATTTTGGACTACAGAGACTTGCAAAATTTTTAATGTTTGTGTCATTTTGTATTTATAACTTGGCTCTGCTACCTCTAAATTATTACCATTGAAAGCAACTGGTTTAAAGAAGTTTTCTATTTTTACTGGTTTATGATTTTTCCCCCTTGTGTGCTAGCAAAGTAAGGAGCCTGGTTGTGCAGTGATTAAGCACTTGGTTAATAACCAAAGGTTGGTGATTCAAACCCACCAGTGGCTCCATGGGAGAAAAGATTAGAGTCTAGGAAACCATACAGGGAAGCTCTACTCTATCCTATAGGGTCATGGTGAGTTAGAATCAGCTCAACAGCAACAACTAGCAAAGTGACTTTCTCAGTCAGGGACGATCAGTGAGGATGTCTAAACTTGGCCTTCCCTGATGGTAATATGTTCTATAGATCATAAACTTTTTTTATAAAACATTCATTTATAGCTAATCTTCATCTTTGGATTTTCTGCTTCAAAAAAGGTGTTTAAAAGGTACAACTATTAATAGTTTTTGACCAGTATGCACTTTATCTCCATATTTTTATATTAAATTTTAATTTTTAGTGTTTGGCATCAGATATATCACAAAGCAAACAGTTATGAAATACTATGAAAAGTTCATTCAGTAAAACATCGTATTGCATAGAAAATGTACTTCTCAGTTTTATAGTTCTGACATACAAAATTAAACTTATTATTATTGATATAATAAGTGAGTATCCTTTTATTCTGTGTATTTTCTTATTTTGAAAGAATAATATTTTTCTCTAATAATCTTTTGGAAAAAAATAACCATTGTTGCTGTTGTTAAGTACCACCGAGTCAGTTCCAACTTGTGACGATCCTGTTTAGGGTTTCCAAGGAGTTTGAACCGCTGACCTTACGTTCAAACCAACTGTAAGATCAAGTGCTTATCCTACAGCACACCAGAAGATCTTATTAAATCCTGTAAAAAGCAATTCAAGAATGCCAAGCTTCTGGGGATAAAATACCTTTATGTATAGAATATGTGTGTTCCCATAATATAGAAATGAAATCCCTCTATCCTATAATATTTAGAAAATGTACCATTCCTTTTTTTATATAACAGAAGTACAGTATGGTGGCTAATCTCTGGGGTCAGACTACGTGCTGTTTACTGGTTGTATGAGTTGGGACCTCAGTTATTCATAAAATGGGAGATAATGATAGCAGTTTCCTCATGGAGTTATTGCGAGACTTTCATATTAAAGGCAGTAGCTGGCACGTAGCAAGCACTATAATAAAAGTTCACTTCTAGGACTAGTAGTGGGGCAGTCGTCGTTATTCAGGTGCTTCTTTGTTTACTCGGCACTGCTTTTATGTTGGACTATAAAATGTTTTCAGTCTGTCTCTGTAGTCTGCCACATGTATCCTCTTGGTTTGTGAGGTTTCTAACTTAACTGCTCAGACCTAAAGTGACAAAATTGTTTTCTGAGGCAAAGTTTGTATTTTAATTTTATGAACTTTTTCATCATTTTTCTTTGAAAAGGTAGTCATCTCACTGTGTGTATATATGTTTTTAAGCAATATGTTGGTGTGTTTTTATTAAAATTTTACATAGCAAATTAGGTTCTCATTTAACTATTTCTACACAAGTTGCCTAGTGACATGGATTATGTTTTTCATACCATGTCAACATTTTCATTAATTGTGTTCTGGTTGGTCTGTTGTATTTTAAAGTTAATTTTTATAATAATTCACTTAAATTTTTAAGCTATATATGTGAGGTTATTTACTTTCAGTTTTCTACTAATTTCAGTCTATCATTAGTAATTGAGGTCCAATGTAGATGATAATTTAGATAAGAGGTTTTTGTGTGTGTATAGGTATACTGTATAGATAGATAGATATAGATAGATATAGATAGATACAGATATAGACA